AGCGAAATATTACGATTTTGTTGCTTTTGTAGCTTCATTTAAACTATCCTTAAATCACTCTGAATTAAATATTAGGAAATATAAAAATGACCTTCCTTTATTGGTAAGCTTATACGAGGTTGTTACAAATCTTCATTACGGCTAACGTTTCCAGCGCTTTCGCCTCTAACAGAGCCAAAATGAATTGGGTCGGGTGCTTACAGCAGTTACTTCTTGCGATGTTGGTCTTCTTAAAGATTTATAACAAACTCTTGCAAGCTTGTTAATAAAGCAAGACAATGATTATCCGCACAGAAGTCCAATGAAAGTTGCTATCGGCATTATTGCTCTGTCATGTGCTAGCTAATATTAATCCGATTATTGCAGGATGGATTGTCACCGTAAAAGAAATTACTCTGGTTAACAATCCACCGAGGAACGGCCTGTGCCTCAGAGAACTGCCAGATAAGGTGTGATCACACCAGTGTAGCTGGAGTCCTCTACGAAAGGGCAGTGCTTGCGATCGCACCTCATTAAAGCACTGCTCCACTCTACTCGAATCGACTTTGTGCGACGACAACGAGAACCCAAAACGGCAAGAAGAAACAACTTCTGTGGACTCGAATCGTTGTGGCTTCGAAGAAACTGAGGTAGATGGTGCTGCTAGCCATAATAAATATTTGTCAGCACATTTTACCACCACACTAAAGCTAGGCATTGATTATCCACAGCATGCTTAAGTAAAGGTGATAGTACTACACCGAAAACGTCCAAGCAATAAACATTTGAAATGATGTGTAGGAAAAATTGAAACAGCAAGTTTCCCAGTGAGTTTCGTGATCTCCGCATTATTTGTCACCGCATATAATCATCTAGGGGCGGATAGCACAGTGTTATTGATGCCTATATTCACAAGTATGGTGTTAGTTCGACTCTGCTCTGGGCCAACCGAGTCCCTCATTCCTCGGGTGCTGGGAAGTTGGTACCGGACTTGTCGGGAAAAAAATCACTCTCTGCAATCTAAAATTGAAAACGTTACAGCCCGGCCCGGCTATCTCAGGTCTCCAGAGAGAATTACTCGGCCAGCATTCTACGACATTCAAGATGAAATGAAAATCCTCAAGCAGTAGCAGAATCTACACGTAAAAGTTGGGCGACTTTCATGGACAATGGATGCGAGGAAACGTATCGGGTGTGAAAAGTACTGGGATCCGCACTATAGACGTTAAGATGGATCAAATAAAATAAAAACAAAAAGTAGATCTCTATTAGTGGAAAAAAGAGCAATTTTTCACACCTCTAGGAAGTTTTCACTAATTCGTTCCCTTCAATAATTATTATCTGTTCATCACTTCAACAACGAAATGTAATACGTTCCTAGACTAATCTAGTGAAATGAACCTACTTGCTGTTTTTAGTGACTCTTTATTGCCATCTGATAACCTTAGTTTTTGGTTTCGCTCCATCTTGTAGTCGCGTTTATGGTCTGGGTTACTATATCTTCAGTGTCACAGCGAAGTCTTTCCCATGGACGAAAAAATGCCGTTGTAATAAATAAATAAAGCCGCAAATGATGACAAATGTTTTCGAATGATCCCGGCAACATTGTCGGTCCTGCAACTCCGATAATGTCAGTGATGTTGCCGGGAAACGTTCGCGATGAGTGATGCATTATAAGCTCTGCAAACGTTCACACTACTAAGGCAATGGAGTGATTAAGGCGATGTCGACGATAGCGGCAGTGCAGCCGATGTTCTGAGAAACAAAGGCATCATCCTGCAGTAACTGCCACGACCGACTTTCTATTAGCCTCGGCATTGATCAAGTGATTTTGTTCGTATTTTTTTTGAGCAAACGCGAGGTGTTATTGTTCTTTGTTCACGATTAAGCTGACGTTTCGGCGAATTTCGCCTTCTTCAGAGCCGCTTTCTATGAGGTCTCCACTAAGTATGTCACGTAGAGACCAACCGCACAGAAATCACGTGGAAGTATAATGAGTATAGTATATATAGNTCTGAGAAACAAAGGCATCATCCTGCAGTAACTGCCACGACCGACTTTCTATTAGCCTCGGCATTGATCAAGTGATTTTGTTCGTATTTTTTTTGAGCAAACGCGAGGTGTTATTGTTCTTTGTTCACGATTAAGCTGACGTTTCGGCGACTTTCGCCTTCTTCAGAGCCGCTTTCTATGAGGTCTCCACTAAGTATGTCACGTAGAGACCAACCGCACAGAAATCACGTGGAAGTATAATGTACTATACTATACTATATACTATATATACTATACTCATTATACTTCCACGTGATTTCTGTGCGGTTGGTCTCTACGTGACATACTTAGTGGAGACCTCATAGAAAGCGGCTCTGAAGAAGGCGAAAGTCGCCGAAACGTCAGCTTAATCGTGAACAAAGAACAATAACACCTCGCGTTTGCTCAAAAAAATACGAACAAAGGCATCATCGTCACAAGAGAAACACAAATGACAAGGCACATTTGTGCGGAAATGTTATACTAATGAAAATCTAAAAGAAAGGAAGGATATTTTTAGCACAACCGTTATTTAACCTCGGTAGTAAAAGTCAGCACCACTTTTGGATTGTTAAGCTAAGACAAAGTTGGTAAAGCTACTTATTTTGCTGACCATGCGTGGTGCAGTGGTCAGAAGCGCCATATAACGCTCACGTGGAATCGATCCCCGCGCCCATGGCCCACCAACTCTTCGATCCCTTCGGTGTCGTCAAATTGGTATCAGACTTGTCTGGAAGGAAAGCAGCACTGGCTCGATACATCGGTAGGCCACCGCGAGTTATTGTAAAGGCCAGATATGCATTCAATTACCTCCAAACGATGCCTAATGAAGTCGAATGCATGGCGCATCCCTCACGGATTGATCAACGCCGAGAGGTTTATCCTTTATCCTTTATTCGACACCTTCGTCTTCAACAGAGCCGATGAACCGAATCAATAGTCCACTGTTCGTGTTCTCCATATGACGTCTTCATCGCCACATCGAGCCGAATCTTCTTCAGTGAAGTACCGCTCGAATGAGGCAACCTCACACGGCCGCGCTTTTTATATAGTACGGTTGTTGTCGATAATGACTAGTTGCCATAAAAAAATTTGCTTTTTAAAGGATGATCTATCTTGCAGCAGTCGCTATTATGTTAGCTACCACAAAGCGAACAGCAAAAGAATATTTTTGATTCGACTAGTCCGTAGTTTAGTCCAAAAATCCGACTCGATACGACAACGAAAACACCGCATCGAAAAGACGAACAGCTGTGAACCATCGACTCGGATTATCAACTCTGATGATGACGACGAAGACGTCGAAACATTAGCAGAATAAACATCTTTATCAACCCTCCGTTAGCTCAACAATCCAAGAAGGTATTAATAAGGAAAACGTCGAAAATCGCTCTTACCATCTTGCTGAGGTTCCTTGTTATTCAGGCTGCTATTTATAACTTCTAATACGACTCGATTTCATATATGGGAATTTCTAGGAGGCGCGTGTGGCGCGGTAATATAAGAGGCCCAGCAACACACGTGCAATTGATTCCCATGCCCATAACCCACTAAACCCTCCCTCCTTGTGGGGTCGGCAAATTGGTACCAGACTTGTCTGGGAGGATAGCAGCACTGGCTCGATACATCGGTAGGCCACCGTGATTCACTGTAAAGACCAGATATGCCTTCAATCACCTCCAAACGATACTTGATGAAGTCGAATGCATGGCGCAGTCGCTCAGGAATTGATCAATGCCGAGAGCTCAGAGCTTTTATGCAAATTCTAGGTATTCCTTTAATCCATCAGTTTTTTCGTATTCAGCACCAACACATGTATTCGGATTTTCACCTGGATTCGGCTTCTGCATGGAGATTGTGTCTTTATCGTGAATGTTGGTCGAGTTAATTCTTCCTGGAATCGTGAGAAAACTGTTCTACCACGTTTCTAGATCGTCATGTTGGCCTTCTTGGGTGAAGAGGAATCTTGCACCAATTTACTAGTCCCGTAAGTATAGAAATCGTTGTTGGCCTAAGGCGCTTTCGAACTAGCGACTCCATATGGAACTGTTGCACAACATCTCTAAGCATTGCGCTTCCAGAACTCTTACAATGAAGGCAAAATAAGGAAAAACGAGAATTGTGGTGAGACAAAATGAAAGACAGAGAGTGAGGGCAGCAATGCAAACCACAGCGTCTACTGTTTACCTCATGTAGCGCAGTACCGAGCAGATGCGCATCATTTCGCTTAAAAAATACTAACAAAAACGAAGCCTCCCAATGGTTTATCGCCTCGTCGTGGCTGAGAGGTGTTCCTGGGTGTCGGGCTGCCACGTACAGCGAGAAGATTCGTCCCCTCTCTCCGGCAGGATGTCCCAAGATGAGGAAGAGTCCAGCGCTTCCATAAGGAAGCTCGGCTAAGAGTAAACCAATACCAGGGTCCACCACCGCTCTGGTATCAAACTACATGCATGGAGGCAAATCTTTTCCAGATCCACAAGGGCTGCAGCTGTTTGTGGTGATGACGACCTAAGGGTATACTTTGGCCAGGCTGACCTCTGGAATCCAATAAACCACAATGGCTAAACCGGTAAATCTCCAAGAGAGTGGGAATTACGCTCAGGAATAAATTGCTACAGGCAGTATAGCTGTGGAACTAAAGAACCACTGCACGCCCAAAACGTTATTGATCAGACACACATTGTGAACCTTAATTCCCTGCGGAAGACGAACTTCCTTGACCCAACTCGAAATCGATTACGAGAATCAGAACCCAATAAATATATTTTACTGAAAGTCTTTTTCCAGAACGATTTTAACTTTTTATTGGCAGAAAACTGAGTCCATCACACCTATGAAATGAAATAGTTTATCGGGAAAATTCAATAAAATAATAAGCGAATTTATAAATTTTTGCGAGATACTCACACTCACATGTATACAATAGCATTTTGCTCAAGAAAACAAACGCAGCAAGATGACAACTAATCTCTGTCAAATTTATCCCTTGTTCATTCCTTTTTCTTCGGCTTTTTCGGATTTTTGCTTCGAGATTTGCTTTTGCACATCGGGCAAATCGGCGCGTTACGATGAATTTGTTGAAAACACGATTGACAAGTCTGAAAATCGAAATCAATCGATAATTTCAGATAAACTTAAGAGTTTCTAAGAACGTCGATACACTAATGAATGTTGCTCCCTAATCATTCATATCTCTCCCGCTGAGGCTTCTGAATTGGGTTAACAAACTCAAAATAAGCCCAGCCTCCCAACGGTTTACCGCCTTATCGCGGCTAAGTGTCCCTGGGTGTCGTGCTGCGATGTACAGCGGGTGGATTCATCTCCTTGGTAAGGTCTACCAAGCTGAGAAGGAGTCCGGCGTTCCTATCAGAAAACCCAGCTAGAAGTAAACCAATACCGGGATCCACCACCGTCCTGGTATTAAAGTCGCATGGTGATAAATCTCTCTCTGATCCATAAGGGCTGCGATTGCCTACTGTGGTAACAGTCTGGGGCAGACTTTGGCCAGGTTGTCCTCGGGACTCCAGGGAACCACAGTGGCTAAACCAGCAAATCCCCGGAAAATGAAAATTGTACTGGGGCCACACAATCAGTGAAGACGGGTCATTCAAGTGTCCAAGTAAAATAAGCCCATTTCTACTTCAGTACCCAACTCTATAACTTATTACACATGCTGGATTTTCGTTCACCATCTTAGTGAACTTACTGGTAAAATTAGGATGTTGTAGGAATCAATAATGGAATTTTGGTCAATCCGTAAGAAGTCTAAATATGGTCTGCTACAACTCTAATATTTTTACTTTTTTTATATTTCTAACGCGTCCTTTTTTGCTTCTCCTGAAATTGCTTGTGATCTCGCCAATTATCAAACCACTCTTGCGAGTATCATTAAAGTCTGCATTCGTTCATGTTCTCCCTAGCCATACTAGAGTTTAAAATCCAAAGATCACCTCAGAAAATGTTTCTATCTATCAGTTATTTAGTTTTGACTGGAAAAAGGTGTCAGATACAGGTGGGAAAGGAAGCGCATCGCCTAAATTCACTTACGCCGCATAATAAATGGACGTCATGTCTGCCTTAGTTATACCCTGATCAAACGAGGTATCCATAGGACGGGTAACAAATAACAATTATGTCATTTATTCGAAACAGCTAACATTTGTACAGATTTCTCCTTTCTCAGAGCATAGATAGGGCGAGTTAACCGTAATCTGCTTAACCAGACGGCTCTACGAACTCAACAGAAAACAACGACACCTGATTTTCAATACGAGTAGATATAAAAAAGCTTCTTCATGCACTCACAGCTATGAGTCTTCCACTAATATCTATGAGTCCTTCACTGATATTGCACGTTGAGACCAACAATTCAGAGATCACAGGTGATGAGCCACTCCTACGTTAAAACACGAGTCTCAAAAATTGTGTGAGAACTCACGTAACGATGAGGCATTTCTCTATGCCGTTCATTGTTAGATTCTTGGAATTTGCCCAGAAGGCTTTGAAGCTTTTACGCCACGATTTTTTAGGCTCCTGTTTTAGGATGGTGATTCCTACTTCAAAATCTGTTGTGTGACTGTGTCCTATGGGTGCCAACTGGAGGGTTCAGTATGACTTTAAGCTTCGCAGTCACCAATTTATTCGCCTCGGCACGCTTTACAAGAAATCAGACAAACCGTACGCATACTCATGCAATCATCGTCTCTACCGTTAGGGTATATTATGCAACTTCGTGCTTCACATAGAGGCTGTTACGAACTAGGTAGCGTCTTAGAGTTCTCAATGATATTTCATTCACTGCTACTAATTTCTCTTGGCCGCTCATCAGGCAACGTTTTATGGTGCTAATTTCGATGAAAATTAAAGGCAGAATAAATGGAACATTATCTTCGTTTGACATATCATTTAGGAGCGTGGATCTTCCCCCAAGCCTATCCCGAGGATATCTTTTCGAATATGTAAGAAATGGCTATTTGACGCCAAAATACCAAGTACTGTTCCTCCTGCTCTCTTCCTTTGCGCACACTAGTGGATGTTCGAAGCACGTTTTTCACAAGCGCCTTTTTGTGTGTGAGCGGTGGGAGGAGAATCAACGGAGCACTATGTTGTTCTTACTTAGCATTTCGTGCAATTTCGTAATATAGACATTTCCGAATAGGTTAATTTGAACGTTCAGAAATGGAGTCCAACTTTCTTTCCGTTTCTTTCTGGTAAACTTAATGTACTATGACTGTTCATCCAATGACTCAAAACATTTGTCCATTTCACATTATGCTAAGCAAATGACAAAGTAATCACCTTTATATCTACAGTACAGTAATCGCCGAAGACCGACTACTGATACTTCTTCTTTGGACAAGAAGGCAGTGCAAAGGTTTGGTGTCAGTCGTGTCCCATTGCCAAACAAATTATTTTAAACCCCCAATAAAGGTAATCGCGAGTTCGATACCCAAATATGGCTTTAAGTTTTGGTCATATCCCATCCATCCTCGTGGTCGTACTTCACATAGTGCCATAAAAGGAATAAAAGTAAGTAAAAGTAAGCTGTTGTAATTCCCCCTGCAGCTTCAACTTAACTGGGTTCAATGTCGACTTGTGCTCCCAGATCAATCCCGTTGACAGGTGATTGCGGACAGTGCCTATAAGGTAAAAACATGAGTGAGGGAAGGGCGAAAAGAAGGACATTCATGCTGTGCTGGTGAACGTGCTAGCTCCCAGAAAAGGTAATAGCGTAACGAATAGCCGTCATGGTGTGGTGGTGAAAGCGCTTACCCACGGAAAAAGAAATAGCGTGTTCAATTTCCACCGCAGACACTTGTGGTCCAGACTTTTGCAAATATCTCAGCAGCATTGTGGTTTTACTCCACGAACTGCTCCAGTTTAATACTCCCATCTCTTCTTTGTAACCGGAATCGCTTTTCTCTAAAAACGCAGCTCGCCTTCATTGGTGGACTTTGATGATCGGCTGCTTTCAAATGAGCAGGAACGTTCGGCGGTGGTCGGAATTGGCTGGCCATCATCATCTGATCCAGTGACATCATCGGAGGAATCAATCCTGACAGACCTTTCCATTGCGGAGCCGGAAGAACCGGAGGAGTAGAAATTCTAAAAGGCAGAATAGAGTATAATACCTAACAGCATTTAAATTCTAGATTTTGAATTCAAATATAAATTCGGAGTAAGCTTTTAGAATTAAGCGATAGAATACCAATTTTCGATTTCGTTCAAGTGTACATGAGGAGCGATCTTTAAACCACCAATTGTGACTTAATAAATAACGATTCTACTAAATAAAGAGCAACGAAAAGAGGAAGCAAGCCAAAAAAAGTAGCAAAATCGATTTCAGTTCCACTAAAGTTCGTAGCTATCTTTTGCTGATTTCAGGTTAACTGAATGAGAGCTTCCTTTTTAAAGGATGATAGAAGTCAGTCATCGTGGTTGTATAACAGTTACTAACGTATAGGCGAGAATATGCAATGATTTCAATCCATATGTAGTTGAGGACGTGTGCTGCGCAATGGTCAGAGGCCCCCTACAACACACAAGTGGAATCGATCCCAACGCTCATAGCCCATCACGCCTTCCATCCCTCCGGGGTCGGCAAATTGGTAACAGTCTTGTCTGAGAGGACAGCAGCACTAGCTCGATATATCGATAGATAGGCCACCGCGAGTCATTGTAAAGGGCAGATATGCATTCAGTCACTTCCAACGGTACTTATTGAAGTCAAATGCACGGCGCATCTCTTAGGGATTGATCAACGCCAAGAGTTTTATCCTTTATGTAGTTAAAAATAACGCCCTGCCAACTGTAAACAACCATATCTCGACTCGTTGCTCACGTCATTATTTCGAAACAGAATGGAACTTCTCCCTACCCTAATCCGGCAAAATTTCGAGTTTTTGGAGCTCATGATTCGATTTTTCCCCACTTTCTGCCGTTTGGGTTTGTATTTCAAATAAAGAAGTCGAGGAATAAGCCAGATTTCACTCAGCAGTGTGAGACGTTGCCCTCCGTATTTGCGTTGGAATATTTATAAATTAGCTGTATCAGGCACTTTCTACAAAGTCGAATCTCAAACTACTGTGGAACAATGTAATCTTTTATAAAAATTAGGTATTGCTTGCGACAGAGAGGTCTACTCGTTACTCAAGCCCGCAAATAATTAGTTACCAAAGAACCCCCGTCCGTAAAAAAATCGCAAATCTGTTAAGGTAGTGAACCTGTCTAATATTTTTGTTTGGTGTGCTAGTAAGAATTTAAAAATATATATTTAAAAAATTCTAGATATAAGCATTCTTGTGGTCCGTGATGGTTCGGTGAGCATTCTGAACGCATCCCGGCAGCAGGTGCAAACGAACGCAGGAGCATTCTAATGCCTAAGGGTCTTCCTTTCTCATCCCCATGCTCAAGCCTTTCCTAACTCACTCACTTGGGGATACGGGCGTGTGGAATGTCATCCGGCTGAATCGTCGACTCCTCTCCAAGTCCACTCTCGCGGATCTTCTCGTTCGACGACTCCATCAACTTCATCAGCGTCTCATATTTCTTGGCCAATTGTGTCTCCCTCTCCCTCTGTTCGAATCTCGCATCGTCCATCTGCTTCTCGAGATCACATTTATCCTAGGGTGTTCAATTTAGAATGTTTTACTCCCTACTTTAGTCATTTCCAGTAACAATTGAAAAGGTGACGAAATATCATTTACATGAGTTAACACCTGCTTGATTTAATAGGAACGACGAAAAAATCTTTAGAGTTAATTGATCTCTATAAGTCATTATTGTCAAAAATTTTTTAGGCAAAGTCCACCACAATATTGCTGAAATCAATAACTAAACAACGAACTTGATTGATTTGTTGAATGATCTCAGAATGCTCTTCTTTTTCACGATTAAGCTCATCGATCGTCTTTGTGGTTTCCTCGATGAACCTTCAACATTCAATGACTTTGCTGGAATTTTCTCAACAGTTTAAAGCTTATCTTTAAAGCCATGTTTGGCTTGAAAACAATAGAAACCTTGGAATTTGAACAGTTATAATTTTATTAAGGAGATTAGGAGATTCCACTAAGATGATGTCAATTTTTACACTGCGGCTGTAAAGCGACTTAGCCGATCATAATGGCTACTAGAAGGAAAAAGTGTTCGTGAATACTCATAATGGGAGTAAGCTCGGCTTTTCAATCTGGAAGCTCAGTTAAAAGTAAAACTATGCCACGATGGCACTAGTGAGCTAAAGGTGACTGCTTTGCTAAAAAATTCAATAAAAAAACTTGCACAAGAAAGAGCACAAGAAAGAGGTTATGACCATCCGTTGAGAGAGCAGAGTCCAGAAAGCAACTCTAATCAGTGGAAGAAACGGAGACTATGGAATGTTTACTGTGTTGGTCGCTCCTGACACTTATTGATCAGTGGAACTGCAGATGGAAGAAGTGATTGTAGAGCGAAGGAATTTCTTCCCGTATAATTTTCTTATAAAAATACCATTACCAACAGTTCAACATGTTTAGAAAACTATGTGACCCCTACTAAACATCCGCTCAAAAATTAAGTCCTTGCTATTCAATTAAGTGCAACACAGCTTTCTTCTCTTTTCGTCTTACTGCATCTCGGGCACAGATTAATCCAGAACTTGTAACGACGCTTGTTCGGTACGATAGGGAAGGCTACGCCGACTTAAGAATTAGCTTAGCACGTTTTTCTCTAAGATGTATTGATGAAGCAAAGCGGAATTTTCCAAATGTTTCTTGAATGAGTAAGATCTACAACAACATTTCGAACGAAATAAAATATATTCTGAACACAAAACATATTGCTTCAAGATAAAGAAATTTGGAAACGTTGCCTACTATTCTATTAGATTTGTTGGTCTTAACCTTACCGCTCGTTCTCTTTGAAATCAGCTAAATCCGCTAAGAGTTCCCGCTTTCGAATCAAGTAGTCGTCCACCCTCCATCTAAAAAGAAGGCCTGTTACTGTAATATAAAACTAAGGAGTGAAAAAGTTTTCAAACTTAAATGTCAAACAAAATAGACCAGAGCTGCCGAAAATGTGTCACGAAAATCCAGACATATTTAGGAAAAATAAGTATCCACCATCAATATTTACGGTAGTCCAAAATATGTGGGAGAACAAAAGATAAAGAAAAATCACAATAAGCACACTAGCGCAATTACATCACACTAGTAGCACAACACGCATAATACCGTCTCGTACGTAACTGCCCGTATGGGGTCGATCTCATGGCTCAGGCTCACCAAGCTTTCCATCTCTCCGGGAACAACAAACTCGTGCTAAGCCTCTTTGAGATAATAATATCACTGAGTGGATACCCCAATAGGCTGCTACGAGTCATTGTTTAAGCCAGATATGCATTCAGTCACCTCAACGATGCTTCGTTAACTCGAATGCATGATACGCCTCTCAGAAATTGATGAACGCCTGATGAACTCTGAGAACTTTATCTTCTCCAACTTTATGTATCTTTCGACGCGTTATAGTTCAGCCTTCTAACCACAAAGGCTTCCCCAGAATCGGCCTAGGAATGTGAAAAAACGACAACGGTTCATTTTTTTTTGTTTACTGTATTTGAATTCATTCGTTCACAGCGTCGACATCTTCGTCCGTTAGTGAATTATTATGTTCGATCGGCAATGAATACGGTAGCGACAAAGTGCACCGCCCATCAGCAATGAGGCGTCCGTCGGTCGTCCGCCGATAGTCCGTTGGTCGTCAGTCGATCGTCGGTCGTCAAGACATTTGTAGCAAGACAGTTAATGAATGACACATCCAGAAGTTCATGTGTCGCCCAGCACAGACATCCATCAAATGTAACACGGCATTTGTTTAATGTCACCGTCAACACCGCCGGGAAATTACAATTAGATGAGACGCCGTTGTAGAGTGAGAAATTAAAACGTTGAATTGCCTACTAATGAACATTTATGGAGAATATCGAAGAAAATATCGTAGATTTTACGACGACACATCCAGAAGCATGACATATTGCCCTCGTCGCACTTATAAGAGAAAAACTTTCCTCCATGTGAACACAGTAGCTTCAAGTTGCATGAGGGACATTAAGAATCACCCCACTTTTCACATAAAACTCCTTGCCTTCACGGCTTTTGGCGAGGTAATATCCAGAGCTATCTTGCTAAGCTGTCATGAAATAAAAGTGTATATAGAGGAGTAGCTCAGCTTGAACAGAAGCAAAAAAGCTTTTGCTTAAATCTCCCAGGCCCTTCTTTGTGTGATAAGCCTATTATCAACTAACGTTAACTAGAGCAAACTGAATTTGTACTAGGAGTCTCAGGATCATCCCCCACGGCTTTGATTGGGCAAGTTATCATCTCAAATTATTGCTTTTATACAGATGTAAGTCTCATGAATTAGTCCGATTTATACAAATTATTATCAATTAGATCTACCCTTCAGAGTATTCACCTATTCGCAATGCTGAAAAGGCAAAGTGATCATCACATCTGTGCTATTGATCTAGGAAAAAATCTTAGTTCTTCTTATTCGCTACACTTTTTTGTGGTGGCACACCGTTGATAACACAGTCATCACGATCGATGAATGATATTTTTGTATCCGGAAAACATATTACCATTTTCATAACATGCAGCAACTTTTGGTCTATGTATACAAGGCAGTGAGTTCGAATGTAATCCTTGTGAGGACGTTTAAAGAACACGAGCAGGTTGAACACAAAGATGTTCTATTTCTACAAAGCCAATCAAGCGTATACCACAAGGTAGGAACAGACCAAGTCCATTTCTGTATGAGCCAGAGCCGCCTTCCTGAAATCCTGTTCAATCGTCTGTTCGGTCGTCCCTCATGTTGTGGAGGGTGTTTTTGAGGTCACGTCTGGTCGATCGTCGTCGACGATTGTAACTCTTAGGTGGCGTGGTGTTGTATGTGTGTGTTTAATCAAACGAGCCATAAAACGAAGGCCGGATGCGTTTACGAGACGATTCGATGAGGCAAACACAGAACGAGGGCAGTGAGAAATTTAGCACAAGTACAAATGCCAAATCAGCAACGACGGCAAGTCGTAGAGGAGTCGTAGATTTCTGGATTTCTGAGTCTCATCATCTAATCCACTTATTTTCTGTTTAGTTTATTCTATACGACCCGTCTTTCACATCTACTGCGCCGATTCCAGCACGTCTCACATTCGATTCGCATTCTCGCATCTGTCATCCACTTAGGTCTTCCAAGTTTTTACGTGTGGCTTCGGCTGGTGCTTGCGGATTTTACTTTCACCTTAAATTTCGTTGAATGCTGATCGATTCGATTCTTTCAGAGTCCTGAGATAGCTAGACTAGAGCGTTCCCATTGCAGAGAAGAACTTTTCCCAGACAAATACGGTAGTAATTTCTTGACTGTGGAGAAATGAGAGGTTTAGTCAACCCGGAGCAGGATCGAAACAGTACCGTGCTCGTAATGATCGGTACCACTACCACTATGTTATCCACCACTCCACCCCTTCTAACCTACTTAGATCGGCGATAACTGCCCAGGATCGTCACGATTTCTCAGTTTAAATAATTTTCATAATCAACAGATTGAAACGATGACAGATTGACCGTTTGAAGAACAGATACTAGCGCTTGCGATGCCAGATATCCTGCTGTGAAAATCCAAACGAATAATGACTGTAGAAAACGAGTGATTCGAAAATCTACCATTAGCGCCAAAAAGAAACATCGACTTTGAGTGATACCGGGGCTTTTTTTCTTCGAGCCAAATTTTGGCAGCATAAAAACCATGCGGCACCTGCGCCACACACTCAGAAATCTAGAAGAATGCGCTGATGGAATGCCAACGACGTTACGCAAGGAAACAAAGAATAGAAACCGATTTGAAAAATCATGGAAAAACGAAATACCTTCCGTTCATATCAGCAAGGACGGTAGAAGAGAAAATTTGTTAGGAAAAGAAAGGCTTAGAACATCACGGCAGGTGGACAAGCACTTTTTTAGGAAATTAACTCAATAGAACCCATTTTCGATTATCCAACCAGGTACAAATTGTGTAACGCTTTTTGGTTTAGATTTTTAAGATGCATAGACGTTACTATTTACTGAAAATTTTAGAGGAGAACTCTTCCCGTCAGACCTTTACAAATACAATTACCAAACGATCTAAAGCGGACTAAGGTGGAGAGAGGTAGCAATTAACCCAAAAATTTCTTCCGTGACGTGCAGAATTTTCAAGCCAAGATACGGTACCCTCACTACGGATACAGGTAGCCTGAAGAGTTTACAAAATTTGAGTATTCTTGGGATTACTGTCGTTAACATTGTTCGGCGCATTGCACTCCAAAGTGAGAATGTTGGGAAATGACAGCATAGTTAAAAAAAAAATTCCTAAGAAATAGCTAACAAAATCTCTAAGCAGTTAATAAAGGATTGTACAGCTAGCCTGCAAAATTTGACAAGAGTTAGAGTAAAAGCAAGAAAATGTTTTCTTTTACATCTTACATCGTACGAACGACTAAAAGTGTATCGAAAGAATGAAGAACATTTAAATGTACATCGATCTATTTTTCCCATTGATCAAGTGCTGTAAATAAGTTCTGTATTCTTTAAATACACTGATCGATAAAACCAGCTAAGATACAGGGGAAATGAAGAACTCTCATAGTGTATGTGTCGTTTTCTTGTTCAGCAATCGCGAGGTTTTTAAACAGCATACATTTACTTCCATAAAAGCACAATACAATACAACGCTAGCTGACGTTTCGGCAGTATCGCCTTCTTCAGAGCCGCTTTTTCGTGACTTCCAATGAGGAAGTTTAGAACAGCTGATTATAGTCGCATGTGGTTGACGACTCATAGTGTAGTTGTGAACGCGTTAGCCCCCGGAAAGGATAACAGTGTGTTCGTTCCCCACCTCAGGCATCTGCGGTTCGTAGCTTTGCAAATGTCTCAGCATCATTGTGGTTGTATTTCGCATCATACCCCGCCGTGAAAAATTAAAGTAGGCAGTAAATAAGAAGTTAGCAATAAGTTCTGTTTTTTGTTAGATGGACTGCATAAGAACTTAGACATGAGATCTTGAAAAGCTAAATGAGATGTTAATTTTAACGCAACTAAGTGTACATTTCAAGTAAAACGACCAATTCTGTCATTCCAGTTGGTATTCTACGTCGAATTTAATTTGCTAAAGGAGAACTGAAGCGCGAGAAAAGATGTGCGGCTATTAAAGCAAGATTACTGGTACTGAACTGTTAATGGGCAGGTACGCTGTTTTCAGAAAAGTACCTTCAGCAAGTAAGGTTTCTTCACTCGTATAAAAGTTTTCAAACTCACACTTCTTTACCGTTTCTAAAATAAGGAATATTTGCAGAATTCTAGAAATGCCCAGTTTCATAAGTCGAAGTCTTGGTTTACATGGGACATTCTCCGTTTTTGTTCCAAGCCAAAGAAGGTTCTGAAGTGACAGAAACTTCTCATGCAACTCGCACATCGTCAGTGCTGACGCAATTGTTATAGTATTCAGCCTATTGTGATGTTGAATGAATACCATCACCTGCATACGACGGATACCGTCATCGTCTACCGCTTCATCTAACCACTTACTATAATCCTCCAACGTATGGCTCACACTTGAAATCGATAGGCGGTCGGTGAAAAGAGTGATGATGAAGTGTTTGTCATGCACAGTGCCGGATTAGAGCATAAGCCTTGCCTCGTTACGGTAGTGCCAGGACGCAGCAACTGGATGGATACTTTGGACGGACGAACATGAATACCTCCCAAATGGTTTTCGAAAACGAAGTCACACTATGTTTTCATATTTTCTCATTACGACAAAGGCACTACATCGAAAATGAGAACCACTGTGGACCACTGACTCGAATCATCGGCTCTGAGGTTGACGAGGACATCGAAACGTTAGCCGAATAAACATCTTTATCAACCTCGTGTTAGTTTACAGGAACTAAAGGAGTTATATATTTCTCAGATGGTAAGATATAATAAGTGAATATGTACTTTAGAAAAAGCAGATAAAGACGAATGGATCAGAATTCTATGAAACGTGCCGACAAGGTGGGATGTTTGCCAACTAATAATATTTGATAATAAAAATTGATATTTTACTATCGTTATTCGGTAGCTCATACCAATAGTAATTTGCTCTTTTAAATTTGTTTTACATTACCCGTCATCCCGCCTACTGCGCCGATCATGCGTGGGTTAGAAGACAGCGTTGGAAAGGTGTCGAACCAGCATTTTGCTTCTCGATGGGCCGCTACACTTACTGCTGCGCCGCTCCACACTCTATCAGTCATCTTACTGGTACTTTGACAATAATGGTGCTTATTTTTTGATAGTTTATCATTTATTGTTACCATTAATTGTCATTATTGCATTTAGACGATTTCGAGAAGAATAACCCGTATAGTTCAACAGTCAAAAAAAGCAAAGCACATGTGCGTTGTATGAAAACGCATAGATCATATCAAATAATCGATAACAAAAACCTGGACGACTATCATCTTATGGATTACACGAGTTTATCCCGATCTTAAGGTGCTATATAAAACGTTGCTCAGTTGATTTTCACACTGCTAAGGAAAACTATGGAGAATTCTCGAAAACCAAACTGTATTGCTTTTTGCAAACTCACAAGATTCTTTCACCTTTTCTTTTCCAATGAGTCTACTGAAAATAATCCAACCCCCAAGACACTCTGATTTTGAATTTTAAACTGCCAATTCATCCAGAGTAGCAGCTCTCAAAGATCTGCTAACGCAAGCAGCCATTTTAAAGGTGCCACTAAAGAACAGGATTCTACAAAATATGCATAAATAAAATCTCATTGTGTTTCCTACAGTGTTCGCTATCATCCCAGAAATCCTACTACCAATTATTCCAACAATTCTTTTTCCTCTCTCTACCTTTCCACCGCATAATTTCCTTCCGCACTCTCATTCTCGCTCTTCATCTTTCTCTCCCTCTTTTTCATTGTCCTATTCATTTATTCCTTCACTCCTTTCCCTCTATCTCCCTCCAATTCTCGTTGTTCGTCCCTTTATCTATTACTCTTTTGCTTCATTCCTTCACTCACTCTCTCCCTCTTCCGTTTCATTCAGCTACACACACTCTCTCGCTCTTCATTCCCATCCTTCTTCCCCTCTTTCCATTCTCTGTTTTCACCTACTTTGCTTGAGCCATTCGATTGAGTTGAATTGCATGTATGGACGAATCAATCAATGGTGACGCCATTCGTCTCCCGTCACTGAAAACGAAAGAAAAAAAGTGCATTCAGACTTAACATCAACGAAAAGACAAACTCAAACGAACACTAGAAGATCGCCATAATCAAAAGATCTTACATCATTCTTAGTCGAAAATCTTACAAAACTATCACCATATAGTGCGAATTCGATCGATACTTCCCATCAACAGCACTGCTGTCAGAATAAGACCTTCTTTTAAAAAAAATCGTACGAAACATAAAGTGAGAGAAAATGATAGCTCAACGATAACCCTTTCCTAGAACCATTAACAACCTGCAGTGCTTTTTTTCATCTTCTACAATTGCAATTTTACACAAAAGACAGCTTTTTCTGCTGTGAAATTGCCATGGTGGAGCTAGGATTCATCGGAAAAGAAGACTTCTGACTTAGAGGTGCTAAGATCTAAATGGCAAAGAGTTACTGCATTTGACTGGTAAAGATGGAATTTGGTGCAAATCAATATTCTCTTTCCTTCCATAAAAATGTCTCGACAGATATGCTTTATTGCAAACCGATCAATAAAATTACGAAAACGAGAATCTACGATGAGAGAAGTTGGTAAAGAAAGGAATGAGGTTTATTGATTTTTTCAGCCATATTTTATTTTCAAAAATGACCCCGAAGCGTATGACAAGGCAGCAAAGTTTCACTTATGGATGAATGTTTTTACATTCCGGAAGTGTTTGATGAACTTAATGTTCAACGTGAGGACAAATATTGTGCGAAGCTGAAAAGAAAAATGATAGAAACAAGGAAAATAATGATTGTTGAGGAACTAAGAAATAAGTAAAAGAATTAAGATGATGGAATGAGTTAGCTAGGTGGAAATAATTTAAAAAACCATCGTTACCTACCAAATCCATCTATCTCAGCTTCCACTCGGCTGTTCTTAAGCACACCGGACAAATGGTAAATGAATTGGCTTGACTTAAGCCTCAGACTAGGTAGGGAACTTGGCCTAAGCTTCGGTTTAACTTCCTTCGTGCACTGATGAAGTTTCAAATTCATCGGTAACCATCACTTCAGTTGAAACACTCATAGATGATAGGAAAAAAGAACTTTGACAAAGACAAGAAAACGTGGAGACAAAAAAAGTTCTCTGGCAACTGATCAGAAATTCTACTCGCACTTATGGGCTGAAAGACTCCGTTCGTTCCTTTGTGATTTTCACTTTCACAGACACAATCACAACTATATCAAAGTTTCAGAGCTCAGAGCTGCTCGACATCTTATCAATGGGCCACTATTCTTAATACAAACCAGACTTATTGCGAAAATGAAATCAGGCTAAAACAAAATTGGATAAAACACAAATTCAATGATTTCAGTGGTTTTGTCCAGCTCTACGTTCAAATGACTCACTTTATTGTTGCGAAACACCTATGACGTCGTTTATTATCAACGGAAAGAAAAATTTCCTGTGCGTCTTCAGCGCTTTCGCACCATTCTATGAGAGCACTAAGACCTTAGCTGTACTTGAAAACATGGCCTTATCAGAAATTCTCATAAAGAGTCAACAAATCCTATGAAAAGCAACTTTTGAAGAGTTAGAGCCATGAAGAGCACATAGTAAAATAATAACCGAACTGACTTTCACTAAACCTTAGCGTTAATAGTCGATAAATTTTCTTGGATTGTTCAGCTTACATGAGGTTGTTGTAGAAGTTTTATTCGGCTAACATATCGACATCATCCTCTTCCTCAGAATGTAAGAGCTTCGTCTAAGTAAGCTGAACAATCCAAGGAAAGTCACGAAGAGCTTCCAGAGTGGGAGCTAACCAAGGGCGGTTAGTATCTGATGTGTTGTTTTCTGGGTCATGCCGTTTTCAAATCGGTTAGGATAAACCACAACTGCAAAGGACACCATCGCAATGGGAAGAAGTTGATATTCCGTGCGACACCTTATCATTTTTGAGGATGTTTGTGTTGTTGGTACTGTAATCTGCTCGTGTCGATAACATTTTTATTGTGGAGATCTTTTGTACAACAGTGTGAAGGCTTCTCTCTATGGTATATTCAATTACGGTAGTGGTCAACAATTACAAGCGACCATATTGAAAGACGCTAAAGCAAAACACGCGATATGACTAAGATCGTGCCCGAATACAAAAGCCAAAATGTCCTGAGAAAAGCGGAAAATCGATTATCGACCGCGACAACCGTATGCGCGACGCGCCGCACAAACACTTTCTTGTTGGTTTTTGTTGAGCGCTTTTGAAGTCGAAAAATGTTCTTTAAACTAGGTTTGCAGCTATACGGTCTCTTTATGAGAGTTCTTCATTACTGTTGCTAGAAATAGCCTCGTAATTACCAAGAACAAGTTAAAAAGTAGTTTCGCAGTAGCAAAAAAATCGCAACATTGGCGTTTTGTGTTTCAATGAAGAATTCGATAACATTGCCTTTGAAATGACAGTTCAACCTATAAAGCAACAACGTTGTCACTGGGATGCTGAGATATGGGCAAAACGCATAACCTCAGTTGGGCTTTGAAACCCGAGCTATCTGTAAAGGTCATACCGCAGCATTACTACAGTTGTATTTCACACCATGCCGTACTATAAAAACAGACCAAGCGGAGCATAAAAGTTAAAAGATTGTGAATGATATTATCATTATCATAGCTGCCTACATCCCAGAGTTTGTTGTCCCATAAAAATATGCTACATAAAAATGAACTACTTGAATGATTTGAATGAATTAAGAATTATGGGGAAAAATAGTATAATTGAAATCGAAATATTAAAAATTGCAACATAAGAGGTGTCATTTAACAGGGTTCAAGGAAAGGCTTAAGTAGAAAAGCTCGTCGTTGAGGGACCAATATCACTTGAAAAATGATTCAGTAAAAATTTGAGTCCACTAGAATAATGATTTCGATAATTTTGTAACAGCATCAACAACAATCGCCCTGTATAAAAGAACATCGCCGGGTGAGTATGGCTCATTCGAGGCTGACGCTCTACTGAGGCAGATCCAGCTCGCTGCTCGACGAAGGTGCCACCTCGAGAACACGAGCAACTGTGGACCATCGACTCGGATCATCGGCTCAGATGAAGACAAAATCGTTGATACATTGGCCGAATAAACAACTTTATCAACCTCGTGTAAGCTCAACACTATGAACACATGTTGACTATTTGAGTCAAGTTTTAATGTCTAAAGTTGTCACCTACGAATTACTTTCATTCATCAAGTGCTTCTCAGTGTTTGAAAGGTTTATTTCACTTTCTCGACCACGATATACTTCTTAGCGATGAATTCACATCAGCTTCTTCATTTTGTTTCTGATTGTTAGAACTCATTGTTCAAAGCATTTTATAAACCTAAACGTCTAACGTGCACAAGCGAACGAAGTACGAATAGCGCTTGAATAAAGAATAAAGACTCGTGGTTCTATTGAATGCTGAAAAAGCATTGATTTAAGAACTGATGCAAAGCATTTTTGGATTTTCGAAACCTTAAGGACCGCAGGTGTGAAAGTTCGACCATCAACGAATCGACTACGATTTGATTTCCGCTCTATTAGGTTTGTTTTTATATTTTTTAAATGTACTCATTAGGAACCCAGTTCGACATGAAACCTTTAAGATTAAACACTAAAGAGATGCAAGGAAGAAAGGAAAAATGATAGAGGACATGTAAGTGGAGAAGCAAAAAGCCGTAAAATGCGAGAAAAGTGAGAAATGAATAAACATTATCGATTTTCGAACTGTTTCAGAGAAATTCTCTACAGTTCGGATTTGGAAGTGTATGAGTTCTGTGGATCATTCGGAGTCGGATGTCTCTCGGGCTCTGGAGCCAAGTGCCGGATGACGGCGGGAGGAGGTGACGAGGAGGAGGTGATGGTTTTATGGGCGTCCTCCCAACCCACACAGTGCAGTCGCACATCTACGGCACCCAACTAATGATGAATGAACACGACGGCGGTATAGGTGTTCGATATCGTCTTCGAAATTTCTCTTCCAAAATATAGAGAAAGAGAAGCATTTTAATCATAGTGATTTCGAGATAATCTAATTTAGATAAAGCAGTTAAATTAACGATTGCTGACAGCACTGTTTGGATAATAGATTGGTTGAAAACACGGTAGCACGATGGCCCCAGTGGTGCAGTGGGCAGCTCGTGAGCCGCCGGAAAGGATAATCGCGGGCTCGAATCTGTCCTAGGGTCCACGTTTTGCTGATATCTGAGCATCATCATGCTTGCATTTAGGAAAATACCCAGCCATGAAAGAATAATAGGCACTGCTGTATAGAAGTGCAAGGTTCTAGAAATGGAGAATGTTGATTCGACAACGAGCTGCCAAATCGATCAACTCGGTTTCCGAAGAATATATATTTTGCTGAAAAGTTGATCAATTCAAGTGCTTTGTGCGTGAAGACCTGACAACAAAGCTACGTAGGCCTATCGGAGAACTATAGTTGGTTCCTTATCCGCTCAATTTTTCGCAAGTTCTCGTCTATAACTCCTATGGAGTTATTGGTGTTCTCAGTATCATTGCCTATCTTGACGCGATTGCGGATGCTACCCGTTGTCGTCGCGGCGGAATACGGTGGGCGGGACGATTAGTTTCACCTACAGTAATCCGAACGTTGTCACTCGAAAAATAAACATTGTCATCTCAGTGGGCATCGAATGTTTTCATGCGGAAAAATCAATGGGCGAAAAAGGCCGTATGTTATATATGCGTATAAATGCATTAGCCATATGACAACGTCGAAGGAACTGCCATGAAATTCAGAGGAAATACGTAACGCTGAGTGCAGAGCACAAAATAACTTGGGATTTATTACGGCACTAACGACTACTTCTGATTGATTAATCCAATGGTGCCATCTACTGTGCGGTCGGTGTCGGCGACGGGGCGGTTCCCTCTCGGAGGTCATAAAGATCCCATCGCCGTCAATTCCGGAGATGTGGCCGGATAGAAATCGTAAGGAGTCGACAAGTACACAATGCAAGGGCGATGAGTACTCAAATACCGTGATCTTGTCAAATTTTAGAAAACCCTTACCAACGGCATTAAAAAATTCAAAAAATTCATATGAAGACATTTAAGGCAACTAATGATTTTTCTGGTAACATCGTTACCTGAATAAATAGGCAGCGACAGTGTCCGATGCCCTAGAAAACCATGTGATAGAGGCATTATTTGAAACGTTCAAGCATGAAGAACTTTTCATCACTTTAGGACTACAGTAGAAAAGCCTATCAGACCAATCATGCCTTTTCATCTTTGCTAACTAAAAGAAAGCCTTTAAAAACGGGTTTAAAGTCGTAGCATTTTCAAAGAAACCTTTTCGTATTGATTTTCTCGAAAACAGTTGAATTCCCCGGTGATGCAAAGGCTTCCCTGAAGACAAGTAGAATTTCTAAGAGCTTCGTATAGACTACATTAAATTTATTCTACATCTCCACTATGAATGACGAAAAAGGTTATATGAAAATCCCTAAACGGTTCGACCCCGGACCGAAAATCCATGAAACGATCACTTGATATCAGGTTTATTTTCTACAGTAAAAGCGACGACTGATTTCTGGATGAGTCAGAATTATATATCCAATTACAAAAGAAAAAGCGAATTTGGTAGTGTGTTTGAATTTTAGTCTATAAAATCAATCAATAGATCTCTGCTTTAACGTAACTCGGGAATGTTACTCGGCGTTAAACTGCTATCAACAGGAGAAGGATCATATCCCAAGAAGTCCACTTGGATTCCAGCAAGGAGTAAATCTATACCAGGAATCGCAACCGTCCTGGCAAAAATTAACTCAGGAAATCTCACTGATCCACAAAGTCCTGCTGGTTCGTTTGATGCAAGCCCTCTATCGCCGCTTTCTCAAGAAAAAGAAGGTTGCTCAACTACCAAGATGAATATTTAACTATTAAATAAATAATAATTAAGTATAAGTTAGCAAATATAGTAGGTAAACGTAACTAGTAAAAGATTTATGAAACGGAAACTATCATTACGCCGTACATTTCAAGCAGACGGGCCATCCAGAGGGACACAAAAGTAAGCTCGCGGAGAACACCAGGTCGAGTAAACTGATTTTTACAAAGACTAAGCGTTCGCATGTGCTTAAAAGACTTATTCAAAGAAAGGAAAGCATATAGAGTAAGAAAGTCGACCAAACCCATGTATGGGCCAGGAGGCGCCATTTGCACATTGACTAGTGATGGATTTATGATTTGTGTGGAGAAGAGTGGGAACGGCGCTCGTCGGACAGCAGACGGACACATGGGAAACGAAGGAAGCGAGAAGCAGATGGAAACCGTTTCGAACAACCACGGACGGTTAGCGCCGATGTGGGAAGGAATACGCAAGATGCGTAAATCATCCATTCGACTCAACCTACATCTTTCGTCTAGTTTTGTTGGAGTTGCACTACGAGGAATCATCACAATTTCAGATGGAAAACAGCCTTCGTATTGTTTGAGAGATAACTACCAAACAGATGGCTTCCACATAAAACAAAGCAGGAAAAAACTTATTCCGGTTTATTCTACCAACATCTCAGTGAACGTTTGAAACAAATGGGTGGTGATGATGATTTTTAGGTTTATTAACTTCAAACGGCTAAATGACTTTGTGGGGAGAAATGGTTTTCTGTGATAATGAAACCGAGGTTTAACTATGTTGGCTGTGTATTTGATAACCAAAAATGATTAGAAAGCCTGATTGGAAACGATTCTGAGTCACACAGAACAGAACAGGTGTTAATGAAGGAGGAAAGAAAACAGTGTACGCAATCATTGGGGCTGGATGACAATACCGTGTCGGGTGAATGTTGAATTCTTCCAGTTCCTTTTATCTTACTCTTACATGCGTCGCCTTCACATCTATTCTGTGGATCCAAGCACTTTTTAAATTCGATTCGTTTCCTCGCATCCATCATCCAGAAGGGTCTTCGAGCTTTTCGCATGTGGGTTAGGCTGCTGCTTGAAGATTGTTATCTTCCTCATGGATGTCGTTGAATGGCGGTCGAGTCGATTGTCCTTGGATTCCTGAGATATCCAAAAAAGAACTCTCTGATTATATGATAGCAAAAAGTGAGCTTTTCCCAAATATGTCTAGTAATAGTTTTTCGACCACGGTGGGATGAGATACTTTATGAGCCCTGGGCGGCGTTGAACCAGCACCGTGCTCGTAATGAAAAACATTTCTACCAATGTGCTGCATGCCCATTCTTATGATGGATTAGGAAAGAATACAACTTTAAACACAACGAAAAATTTTGCAGCTTTATGCAGAGCTTAGCCTTGATTAAGCAAAATCGATTGCTACGTTTGCATAAAATTCTGTTGTTATATCATCAATTTTTTGCAGCGACGACATTTTTTCATAAAATAAATAAGAATAAAAATAAACTAAGCACAAAATATCAGCAGTTCTCCAAAAAGCAAAGAATTGCTGCTTATTTCTTCAACGACTCGTCCAGGGACTGATTCTTGTTTTTGAAGGATTTTGGCTGTCAAAGTAATAAACAAATTTGAGGAAAAGAGGAATGCAATGAAGAGAAACTCTGATAAGAAAATGAAAAATGGATAGAATAATGGCCGTAGAGAATAATGGCACACTGTCAAGCGGTAGATGGAACGGAAATGGAGTAGCATAGGCGTAGATGGCGTAGATCCTAAACATCCAATAGAGGAATAATTAGCCCGTAGGTCACAGTCTAGTAAAATTCGCTTGCTGCTTTAAAAAATTAGAGCAAAAGAAGATTAGACAACCTTAAAAACAGTAGAGTAAGATAGTTGAGACATCCATATGCTCCAGCTATCAGCACAAAAATTCTGGCACAGACGGTGATTTGGCAGAAAAAAGAGAAACTCATTCTCGCAAAGGGGCGTGATCGATTCAGCCACTCTTCACATCTATTGTTCTGTCGAAGAAGTATGGTGAATTTGCCGTTGCGAATCAGCATTGTGTCCACATGGGTGCCTTCGTACACCGCTTTAAACCATCTTGTCAGATGCTAATATTGCCTGTATTTAGAATTATTACAGAGCTAATTAAAAAAGTGCTGATAGCGCAGTGATTACATGTGCCCTGTAATAAATTTGGGATTGATCTGGCGCCCATCCCATATTCGCCATGCCATCAATCCCTCCGGGGTCGTCGAATTGATACCAGACCTGTCCGAGAGGATAGCAGCATTGACTTGATAGATCGGTAGGCCACTGAGAGTCAATATATAGGTTAAATATTCATTGATTCACCTCCATCGGTGCTCAATAAAGTAGAATGCATGGCGCATCCTTAAGAGATTGATCAACTCCGAGAGTTTCATCCTCTGTTTTATTCCTTCGCATACCTACGTAGCTTTCCTTGGTTCACCACCTTATCTTGGCTAAAATTATTTTTGGGTTTTGAGAAGTTCGCCTTCAACCAGGACATTTAAGTTGAGGAGCTCGATATTGCCATCCGAAACCCTAGTGGAGAGCAAGCTAGTGTCTGGGAATCGGAGCCATTACGTAGGAAGCCTAGCTACAAATGGCTACTTCAGCAGCAAGAAACTGTTGGCTGTGAGTATCCTGGTACTGCTTTCTCCTACTGTGAGCAAAAAATTGTGACAAATCAGCAACGCACTAGTTAGTTGGAAATGTACAGAGCGTCACACGTTTTTTACTAAAGTGAGTAAGATTAAGGGATTCAAGTCTTGAGATGAGAGACTTAGCTTTCAAAGCATATAAGAAAAAATATTGAAAAAGTTAAAGAAGTAAGCTTGTTGTAGCTATTGCTGGGCAGGTCACCGTGATTTCAAACATGTCTGGGGCCATTTGTAGTTCAACATTAGGGCTGCCACCGGCACGCCGTGATATCTCGTCCCACATCGCAAATATATCATATGCAATGGAAACTTTGCATTTCCTCACCATTCGCTTTCTAAGACATACATAACGCTTCATGGCAATAGCGAATATCATAGAAATTCGGATTTCGTCCAGCCGATTCGACTTCGTAATAATGTATTTTGAAGAAACTATGTTTGTCAATGAAACTGAAATCTTGGTCTAGTGTTTACTCTGTCTGCTTATGGAGGTGTTTGGCTGGGTAGATCACAGCAGTCGACTTTAGCTTTTCAGGCTCTGAAGAATGCTAAATCCACCGAAGCGTCCGTTTTTGCGTCAATAAAGAGTGAAGTAACAACTCGTGTTTGCCCACCAAGAACATTGTGGACGTATTTTGGTTTCCAAAAATTTCGTGTGGGGCTTTTCTTCAAGGCTGTAACAATTGCCCGTCGTAAAGATTTCCATTGCCATAATAATGATCGTGTAGCCATTTTTACGCCTACACTACTTAGAGTGAGATAGCCCAGATATTCTACCCCATAAGGCTTTCTCAACCCAGCAGAGCAAAAAATTTGAGAGTGCAACATGTTCATTTATTTTGAGGATGAAAAGTTGCTATAAGGCAAATTTCAAATTAGAAACTAATTTAATGTCCAGTGTGAAGCTTTGCATAAAATTCCTTGATATACTAATAGTATAAATGCTTAATTTAATATAGTTAATTTAGCTTAGTTTAATAGCAGAAGGAAGTGCTGAATACTTCTGCCAAGGTGGAGTGAAGGTCGGTTTTGAAAATATGAAAATATTCCAATCATTTCCCTCTTTTTAGAAAAAGTGCTTGCAGTTACACCAAGGGAAGTCGGTTCCACGAGATGGGAAAGGCTTCACGTGGTCGAAGCAGCTCTTTGTAAAATTTGGCTGTCGAAATAACTTTCAAATAGTTATTAGTGGACTACTGCCACTGATTTAATATATAATATATATAAATATATATATGTATATATTGCAGTGCTTTTCATCAAGGAGATACTCTTAAGCCATAAGAATACAAGTGGCTAGGCAAACGCGAATTAGAGATTTGCCTAAAGCATTTACTAAAGTTGGGGCGTTGGGTAGCGCAGTGGTTAATGATGTTGTCGATAAGGAAGCAAAGGTGTTAGTTTGACTCAATTCCTAACACTCCTCCACTCCTCCAATCCACGTGGGAACGGTTCAGCCCGGCTACGTTCAAGATTGAAAGGAGAATCGACATTACCTGCATTCTGCTACATTCATGAAGAAGACGGAATCCTCAGACGGCAGCCGAACCCTCATACGAAATGTTTTAAGACCATTGTGAACGATGAATAAGAGGAAAACGAATCGAATGCAAGAAGTACTGGGATCCGTGCAGTAGTATGTAATGACAAGCCGTGTAAAAAAGAAAGAAAATTATTAAAGTTGAGTAGAAATGGGGTCAAGTCATTAAAATCTAAGAGACAAATTCTTAATCCTTTACTTAATACTCCTCTTCTCTCGGATTCCTTGCCTTTTTTCGGTCAATGGAGCTTATTTCAGGGCCAAGTACTGTTAAAACGGTGAATCAAACTGTCTCACGAATCCAGTAACGATTGGAAGCGTCAACGTTGCGCTATTGAAAACATGAACCCAGACAAGGTACCCGTCAACTTTGTGGGCATCGTACCCTACAAAAATGCACTCTTTTGTATCCTATCGTCTTCTTTAGCTCACACGACGCTCTTTCAAAAGGCAATATTCTTTGAGTTTTGTAAAAATTTGGTTGAACTGATGTTTGCTGACAATCGATAAATAAAACCCTAGAAGCAAAGCATAGGGTGCAACACGAGTGTATGGTGGATTCCAATTTTGGTTTCATTTTCCTTCCCATGACTGTCAAAAGTTGAAAAAAATCAAACAATCCTATGTCGAGATTCCACGAAATAGCGTGCTCTAACAGAAGTCAACATATCAGTGAGGGTAGAATATGGATATTTATCTAGTATTCCAAACAACTTTCATGGAAGACAATTGCTAGCGTAACAGACAAATGGATAGAAGAACTGAGGCAAACGGATCATATGAGGACGGGTTATTTAAACAGCAAACTAAGAATCGAAACTCAATCTTTTTCACTAAGTTTAAGGGACCTAAAATAATTTTAGTTTAGAGATTTTTCATAAACTCTCATTCTCCCTCATAACCAACCGCATGAACTTTGTGAAATTCCAGAAAGAACTTCCAGATGAATGTTAGCAGTTGAGGACTGATTCCGAGCATCCTCCATGTCATTTTTAAGTTTTAAACTGATTATAAAATCTGTCATCCTCCTTTCAAAAAAATATCCTTTCAGGTCACACGGAGTGAATGAAAGCTGAAATACTGATGAGTGACAAGCCATGAACTGATGAGCTTCGCAGAGATTCTGACAAAGCTGTTCTATTCCATTCATCCAAAGAGAACTCATATTCGTAATATCACTGCTTCTCCTAAAACTGCTCAACAAATCTTAGAAAAGCATAACACATCAAAAGCATTATGAATGAAACCGCATTATTCAACTATGGTGCGGGGATTTCATGGGACCACTCACTACTCAGATTTCCGCG